AACTTAAAAGCACAGGGTGAAATCAGCTTGCTGTTTGGATGCCATAAGTTAATTGGCAATCAAATGCCGTTGTCACACACATTGCGCCTATTTCACCTTCTGTCGTGTAATATCTTATCTAGGCTGACTTTCAGAATGTAAATAATCATTTTGAGACTAAACTCTGTCAAAGAGACTGAAACTAATGGTGGCTGAGAAACACATAAGATCGACCAGGTGTCGCATAGTGATCGATTTCAGCGCTGCCACTTGTTAGATGGGCCATGAGGGATGCCTAAAAAGTAAAAGTTGTAAAAATCATGCCTTTTCGTAAAGCAACAAGGGAATAAGAGTCTACTGCACAGTGGAGCAAGTGTTAGTAGCAATTTCTCTTGACGCTGTTAAATTTGAGCGCCCAAAGTCAACCTCCATCACACAAGAGCTGTTAATCCGAAAGATCGTTCACAAACTAGACGCGCTTCAAAAGGTTGCCTGCGCATTCAAACATGCCATACATGAGGGTATCTTCAAACATTCTGTGACTTGCCTCTGACAGACCATGCAGTTTGGAGAGGTTGATTTGTCTGGGCCTGTGTACGTGACGCTACGTGACGCTGTCAGCCATAGTGGTCGTATTCTGAGAGATGAAATGCAATACATCATTTGTATTCATATAGATGTGTACGTTGAGTGAACTTACGAAGCCGAAATTTCTTGGGTTTCTGTTTTAGTGCAAAAGCAGACTCTCTTCTTTCTTTCTCGAAGCGTTATAACTATTAATTGCACGTGTCACTATAATGAAGCTTTAAGGTGGTATGAAGTTTGGAAGTGTTTTTAGTAGACTCAACAGTGTCTCCTGGTGCTCTTTAGATGCACATTACTAACATCTCTGTTTTTAAGAGACGATCGAGGTTAAGGGGAGACGTGATGGCACTTACAAACATTTTTTTAGAATCTTGATCGATTTTTGTTGGAGCGTGCTGAGTTTAGGCATATTTGTTAGCCGATTTCAGATATTCAATTGTGCTTCTTTTTCTATAAGTAGTTTACAAAATAACACAAACAGCTACCTCTTTGTTTAAGGCCTAGTTAGCTAACTAAAAGCGGCCTTCAAAGAAATGTAAAGCCTGCAGAATCCATAGTAGGTGTTCATTGTTTGTCGCAAAAGTCCCAACTATTGCTCTAAGCCATTCGCAACCAATGTTGTGCACTATGACTACTGAACCAGATTTAGAAAATACACTCATTGATACTTGAAACAAAAGCTCTGATCCAGAACATTTTCTCATGGAAGTATTATGACAAAACTTGCCTTATGGCACATCGTATCTGTTTATCTCAGAAACAAACGCTAAATTGTTATGATAACGCATGTACAACAAAAAAATATAGCTCCTCCATCACTGGGAGGATGTGCAAATTGATCTCTGTTCGCTCTCAATTTTAAGGTTTTCGGTTTTTTAATGTAGGATAATGATACAATTGGGTAGTATTGAGCTACTAAAAGTTGGAAATAAGTGTGAAATGACGTCAAGAACGTGCAAGGACTGTCCGCAACAACTTGATTTTTTGGCTGACTTTTGGTCCTTAAGTTTCACGTCTCCCCTTAATAGGAAAAGAAAGACAACTCTATTAATTAGAGGACAAAGGCAGCATTACTACAGACAGCTACAGGTACCGCCGGGCAACCGCGTTGCACACCGGCGTAGGAAATCAAACTATTCACGGATGTTACAATAGCTGAATCTTCACGCATGACCAACTAAGGTGCGCAGTATAATTAGCTCGGTTACCTGTTCTGTCAATGGCAGATGCTTGTGCGAATTGTCAAAACATTGTCGCGTTGTCCTCGCATGTCTAAGCCCGGTTTTCGACGACTGCGGAAATTCGTTGCCGATAGTCGAAGTGCTTGATGATGATAGCGCTCTGTTGAGGAGAGTGCGCGACCAGCGTGCGATTGACGGCTCGTCCTCGCGGCGTGCTGTGCAGGGGCACGGTGAACAACTTCATCGTGTTCCGGCTGGTGCAGTTCTTGAGCCCGCTGCTGATGCCCAAGGAGTCGAAGATCCTCCAGTTCATGTACAAGTACGGCCACGCCCTGCGGCCGCCTCCCTCGAAACGAACCCGATGCCTGGACATCATGGAGCCCTACTTCAAGCCACTCCTGCTGACGGCCGCCAAGATCACCTTCAAAGACACCGAGACGAAGCGGGCCGAGGTGTGTCCGTTAGGTCATTCATTCATTCCTTCATTCATTCGTTCATTCATTCATTCATTCGTTCATTCATTCATTCATTCATTCATTCATTCATTCATTCATTCATTCATTCATTAGGGCGTGTTAACAAATTCACCTAGCCTAGTTGTCTTGCTTTCAGGGAAATCATAATTGCGCTGAAAATATTCGTCGGATTCGGCGTTCATTCATTATCTTATTAAGACGTGCTATCGCATTCACTTGTCTTTCTTGTAAAATAAAAGAAATGGCCGTGGTTCAGTGATCTAATAAAAGTTCAATTCAATACTGTTTGAATGAATAAAAGTACGGCTCATTTGCACTACGTTCTAGTGCAATTTTAATTCTCCTGTCCCATCTAACCACTCTTTGCTTCATTCATTCATTGATTTATTCCTTTCTTCCTTTCTTTCTTCTTTCAGTGCTCCCCCTCTTTCCAGATTAATTAATTAATTAATTAATTAATTAATTAATTAATTAATTAATTAATTAATTGATTGATTGATTGATTGATTGATTGATTTATTGATTTACTTTTGGAAATGGTAAAGGTAGTCTACTAGCCAAAGGCTATTAGAGAACCCGATCTCTCTATTGCATGCACACACACAAAAACATGCTTTGTGTGTGCTACACGCAGGCGAGCCGCGCTATCGCCAACTTGAAGGATTCGTTCAAGCGCATGTCCATCAACTCGTTCTACCCCCACACTGAGCAGAGCACTCTAAACAACAAGCTCCGGCGCATGCGCATCTACTACTTCTACCCGTACGAGACCAAGGAGTACCAGTACATGAAACAGTGGTACCGCTCCTGGGTAAGCATGTTCCTCCGAAGCGGTTCCCGAGGGCGCATTTATAAAAGTTGTCTGTTATTGCCAGAAAGCGGTACTGAAAGAGCGTGGTATTACCGATGCCTACCATCATTGAAAACTTCAATATTACTTGAAGACTTCTCTATAGCGCCGCTCGTGCAGCCTTGGTTGCTTATTTCAAGTCTGAGTATTGTGCACGTCATTTTATCTGCAGTTGTAGCAGAGAAAGTACGACCTAGGCTAACAACTTTTTTGAAAGATCAGATTATAAGATTCCGGTCCTTTGAATTAGTTAAGTTTGACCCTGTACCACCGCAGTGACTAATAACCCCCTGAATGTTCCTTCGCGAGCTTTCATTCCGGAAGACAGATGAAAGTGAAAACAAAATGCCAAAGTACAGTACTTTTGTCCTCGTTCTTTTTTTTTTTTTGTTCGTGTTTAACCCTGTTGTGCAAGCTTTATGCCATCGATGAGCAAATATCAACTTCTCATAGAAACATTTGAGGTTTAGTTGCAAATATAACCCCATCGCGTGCAGCACAACACAATACGCGTGTGCAAATGACATAACAGTGTCATTACTAGTTAGTAGGTTAGCCTAAAGACAGGGGCAACACAAAAGGCACACTCGACGCAGCACAGTGTTGTGTTGTGTCGAGTGGAGTCTGCTTCTTTTGTTGTTGATGCCTTTAGGCTACGTTACCATCAAGTAGATTGCAATACCAAAACTCACACTGACACCCTCATCGAGTGTTATATATGCGTCCAAGTATTGACTTGGTAAAATTTCGATTGAAGTTATCCTCGGGTCTGTTTCGTTCTAACCTCAGTCTTCTCTGCTGTTCTTTAATTAATCGCCAAACGCAGAAAAAGCTGCAGTACAAGTACGGCCAGATCGTCAAAAGCTTCCGGAATGCGGGCTTCGAGTTCGCCAAGTCCCAAGCTCACAAAACTATCCAGGACTTCGAGTAAGCTATAGGACGGGCGGTCACGCCGTTTCGCTTGTGAACGCTCAATTGCGTCCGAACGCTGACAGTTCCCACTTGCTTCTTCGCTCAGGTGGAAGGGCTCCGTCTTCCAGCAGGACCCGTTCTACGACGCCGACAACAACGCTCTGTGTGAGTCATTGTTTGGACCCCACGTTCAGATCGCCATTAAGTTGAAACGAACGGAAGGGAAAAACCTCATTTTTGTTTTTCTTCACGCGTAATCGTTTGCGCGTTTTCTTCCTCTCTTTTGTTTGTCTTCAGACATTCCTGCCAGCTTGTTCGAGCCACCGCTGTATTATGGAGACTCATTCCTGTGAGTTGAAGTTGTATTTGATTACGTGCACTGATCTCTTACTCTAGCTCACAGACAATGTTGGCATGAGAAACCCTTATGTTAATATTAAAAAGTACGAAAACTGGATACAATAGAAGGAGCACACAGCACGAGCACTGATCATCAAGTTAGCGCAGTTTATTACGGCAAGAAAACTTGTGTCACTAGGGGCAAGAAAGCATACAAGGACGGCTCCTTAGATCTAATCTTAGTGCCGTTTTCTTGTTTCTGTTTTTTTTTCCTTTTTGTCTTCGAGGTAACGTGTACCAGCTTGTGCATTCAACAAACACCACTGCAATTAGAAATCTGTGCAATGCTCAGCCGTGATGCAGTGTAACTCCATTGCGCCCCATCGATGCTGCGTGCAGGCCATTTTCGATCCCCATGTACGGCTGGCGAATCGGCGTGAAGATGTTCCAGGCCATCGACTACCGAGGTGAGATGATGAAATACCACCGTGCGCCGTGGTTGCGCCTGGATTGCATTTGGTTGCTCCTTAAAGAGCAGTAATTCTCATATGCTTTTAGATCATGTCCTTCCACGGCACTGACGTGGAAGACCACAAATATTGCCACAAGCCAAGCCAACACATTGATCCTAATAGTTGATTGGGCTTCAAAATATTTTGAACAATGTGCTGTTCTTTTTCTATAGTAATTTGGGACTGCATGGGAAGACGGGACAATGTCATTTGCTCGTCTCGTCGCGCTTGTTTAAAGTACACTATCACTGCTACATGCCTGAACAAGTTGACAAAACAGCGTTGTAACTGACGAGTAAAAATAAAAGTGGACGAGCATTTTTATTGCTTGTTTGTTATATCATTGTTTTTCCACTTAAGTATATGTGAACGCTCAAGAACTGTAGCCGATTTTCTTCATTCTACTAACAATCAAATTCACTTTTCATAGGAGCCTTATGACATGAGCCAGTTTGTGTTCTATGACTGAGGGGTAGTGGGACATCAGACTTAACAAAGGAAGAGACGACGTATAAGAGATTAATAATTGTTAGGGTTTAACGTCCCAAAACCACCATATGATTATGAGACGCCGTAGTGGAGGGCTCCGAAAATTTTGAGAACCTGTGGTCCTTTAACAAGTACCTAAATGTAAGCACACGGGCAGGTCTCAAGCATTTCCGCCTTCTTCGAAAATTCGGCCGCCGCAACGAGTGCTTACTGTTGAGCGAATGTATTGCGGTAAAGTCGATGAAGAAATGAAAAAAAAAACTGTCAATTTGTGTGACGTCATACAACAGATGACCGACTCGAAAAAAATCTGACAATATATGCCATCATCAATGGAGCAAAAACGAGCAGGTTTTCTACGTTAAATACCGGGTTCTTGCTCTTTTTTTTTTCTTAGTCGTGGGATCACCTGCTGTATTATGCCAGAAAATCTGTTCATTTCTCGGTATATATTTCTTGCGCCCTAATTAATGCAACTCGTTCTGTCATCAGTAAGCTCCTGTCGTCGTTCATTGCTATTTGTTCCGATTCGTACTCCGCCAGTCCCGCGAAGTACAAAAACCCGTGTTTGAACTCTTCGGCGACTGCTCGAAAATTATACAGCGTCATCGCCGCCATCATCACCATCATCATCATCATCATCCTGACGACGACCAGTGCAAGGCCTCTCCAATGTTTCGTCAATAATTGATTGATATGTGGGGTTTGACGTCCCGAAACCACCATATGATTATGAGAGACGCTGTAGTGAAGTGCTCCGGAGACTTCGACCACCTGGGGTTCTTTAACATGCATCCAAATCTGACGACACGGGCCTACAGCATTTCCGCCTCCATCGGAAAGGCAGCCGCCGCAGCCGGGATTTCATCCCGCGACCTGCCTTAGCCACTGGACCACCGCGGCGGGGCGGTGGATGCGAAATGGTTGAGGCCCGTGCGATGTCAGTGCACGTTAAAGGACACCAGATGGTCGAAATTTCCGGAGCCCTTCACTACGGCGTCTCCCATAATCGTATCGTAGTCCAGGGGCGTTAAACTTTAGATATTAAGACATAAAAGATAATTTATCAACGTGTAAGTTGGTGCGACGAGTGATATCACTCAGTAATCAGAAGTCGGCATGTGCCTTTGGAGGGCTCCGGAAATTTCGACCTACTGGGGTTCTTTAACGTGCACCCAAATCTGATCACACGGGCCTACAACATTTCCGCCTCCATCGGAAATCCAGCTACCGCAGCCGGGGTTCGATCCCGCGACCGGCCGGTTAACAGCCGAGTACCTTAGCCACTGGACCACCGTGGCGGGACAGTGTTTCGTCAATAAATTAACTCTTCTCTGTGCTTGCTGTGGCCACTTTATCTGCAGCAACTTCATGTAATCTGCCTCTTCAACCTTTGTCCCTCATTATTGCTCTCTCTTTCTCTCAATATTTTCTCCTATAAACAACCACTTTATGAAAATTCCCCTCGAGCGCTTGTCTCCTCTTGGAATTCAGTTCGTTTCTCTGTTGTATGAACAGCGGTTATCTATAGCTTTCGCACTGCATGCCCCGCCCATGCCGATTGATTCCCAATTTTGACTTGCAAGACTAACATTTTTTTAAAAGTAGTATACATTTTAATTTGCATAAAATCAGTTATTTTTGGCATATCCACAATAGAAACGTATAACTGTGATAGAAAGGCCCGATCGGAGCCCCTTTCCCATCGGGGTACATCGAATACAAAGCGAACACTAAAAATCCCAGGCCTTTGTGTCGGATCGTTGCGCACGCAGGTCGCACCATCACGGACAGCGCCCAGTACCGCAACTGGTGGGGCGAGACGCTGATGGCGCGCTACAACGAGGTGGAGAAGTGCTTCCGCGGCGCGCACGGCTCGCTCAAGCTGGCCGACGAGTCCGAGCTGTACGACCACATCGCCGACAGCGCGGTGGTCATCGTGCTCTTCCGGGAGTACAAGCGCGTCGTCCAGTCGCGCGTCGGACCCGACAAGGACATCCGGCTGCGGGACATCAAGCACTTCTCCGGCGACAACATCTTCTTCCTCTCGTTGGCACACGTAAGTCGTCTAGAGTCACGTCTAAAGAGGAGCGCTTGCGAAAGTGGGTGAATAGTGATTTTAAACCACTGCGTGATTTATCAGAGACGCCGTGGTGAAGGGCTCCGAAAATTTAGAACACATAAAGTTCTCCAGTGTGCGTTTAACCTAGGCACATAGGCTTCTATAGCATTTCGCATTCGTCGAAATGTGGCTGTCGTGACCAAGATTCGGTCCCACCATCTTCGCGTCGGCATTCAAGCACCGTAGGCACAATGAACCACTGCGACGAGCTGCAAAGTGGGAGCTCGCAGTTAGCCTTGGATATCTTTCCTCGGTGAAATCCTGACAGTTGTCTATGAATGAACATGACTATGCCAGGAACTAATTTCCGCTCTTGGAAATTCCATGTTATGGAATAGTTTGTGGTCGGACTCAAGTACGCACACTTGTTTTTGAAACGTCAGCTAGCTAAACGGACTCTCACTTTTTTCATTTTCAGTTTAACGTTGCTCGATGCTACATACTGTCATGCAAAAGAGCAACATGTCCTATTAATGTAAGGCATAAGAATTAGGTGACGTAGCAACTCTTAACAATTATGAACAATATATAGCTGCCAAGATGAATACATTCTACTACCTTTCACAGTCTTATGCAGGGGAGATAGGTGTTTGGAGGCCCGAATGCCCCGCCCCCCCCCCCCCCCCCTTATTTTGTTTAGTGCACTAGCTGAGTATGGCTTCTGACCCCATACAGCTTGGCTTTAAGTATTTGACTTACATAAGCTGCCCCTCCCCCCCTATGAGTGCAGGGGACTAGATTTTGAGGAGAAAGGGGGAAGGCGATTCGAAAAAGAAAATGCTCCTACACTCATTTGTGCACTGTTCGACATATGTTCGACTTAAACAAATAGCTCAGCTAAAACCTTACTCGTCTTCCTCCACGATGATGTGCTGTTTGGTGGAGTTGGAAGGGCTAAGGTGGCTGCTCTTCTATTATATTTTCAGGGCGTTTGCACTCGTATTTTCAACGACGCAGCGCAGGTACAGAAGAAAGGCGGAAAGCGCATAGCGCAAGAGAGGTAAGGGCTGAGTTTCGTCAAATTTATCCGCGCTAACTAGCAGTGCATAGAGGAGACTTGGCGCTGAATTGCTTTTCTTTATACGTGGAGGGTTGGGAAGAGACATAGCGCTTCTCTCTCTGATCTTCTCCTGGTCAGTGGCCTTGCTTGTCATGCATTTTGTGATAGAGGCAAGCTTTCACTGCACGTGACTTACCGTGAGGCTATAAGGCAAGCGACTCTCGGAGAGCAACAAAAGCCGCTGACGCACTCATATTTCAGGACATGCATTATCAAAGCAAACTAGCAATAGATAGTGCGGCTTTTATTATTATTATTATTATTATTATTATTATTATTATTATTATTATTATTATTATTATTATTATTATTATTATTATTATTATTATTATTATTATTATTATTATTATTATTATTATTATTATTATTATTATTATTATTATTATTATTATTGAGACTATCTTTATTGTATTTTTTTCCTTCCATATTTGCGTGCGCCGCCACAAAGACCGTATGGTTGTTCCTGGGCACGTTAAATAAAGAAATGGTTGATTAGTTAATTCATTGATTAAATAATAATTATTGGCCACTTACCAATGGTAACGGAATGATTTATAGACTTCGTATGTGACACAGTCAAAAGTCCAGAAGGCCTAGTAAATAATAATAATAATAATAATAATAATAATAATATAATAATAATAATAATTGCCACCAAAGTGTACAACAGTGTTTAGCCTATGGATCATATCGCGAGGCATTGCCGCACGTAGTCGTGCACGTATTCACGCTTTCGCCTAAAATGTGCCGCCGTGGTGCATTCGCTGATATGTGATCAGCTTGCCCACGTGACGTTTCGTTAATAACCGCTTAGCTTCCGTAGAGTGCATCGCATGCACCTTCAGTCACTTGAAGCGTTCAATGTCGTGTGTACAAAAATGTAATACCAGAAGGCCGCTAAGATTTGGGGGGAACTTTTATGATCTGATACGATTCCGATCATTTTTAATCAGTTACGATAGCGATGACGTTTACCAAGATAAAGTTATCCTTTGGTAACGCGTGTCAATAGTTTTCAATCTTCGAACGCACGTTGACAGAAAAAAATTAAAATAAAACAAGTATGAATAGAAAGAAATAAACTCCTCCGCAAACAGCACCCTATTGTAGAGAAGGTAGCTTTACAAACGCATTTCACGTTTTTACAGAAAAAGAATGTTTTGCTGCAAAACGGACAAAATAGACGACAAAGCCTGTCCATCAGTGCGTATTTAACGATACGTAGAAGTGATGTGAGCCCACGCAGTGGAAACCGGACGCAACCGAATAATATATTCGGCTGAATATGTTAATACTCTTGCGGTGCGTGTTGTGACCTTGGTCCTGCTGTCTTCCGGCACCACGCGCAGGCTGAACATGGCGCTGACGCACTGGCCCAAGTTCAAGAGCCTCTACGAGTGTCCATCCAGTGCTCACATGGTTCCCCAGAGAAGATGCATGTTCTGGTAGACGGCTGGGACGAGAACAGCGACAAAATACAGCCTGTTATCTTTTTTATCCTGCTGAGGACGTGTCATCTCTTTAGCGCCTTGCACACGCAACGAGTTTCCATAGACCCTGTGGGGCATCCGGATGGTTGAGGCAAGCTACGTGTTTCAGGGAGTAACATTAAAGTTAATGCCTGAAGCGACATATTTCAACTGCTATAATGACCCGACGCCCTTTCCGAGGGTGAAAGTTGTGCGCGAGTTGAAATATTACTGATTGGCTTTGTTTTATCGTTTCTTTAGCTGATGACTATAGTGCATATTCTGTGGGATCGTGGGTAGCAGAAATCACAAACTTCGGTCTCACACTCACAAAAGAAAGCGTTTGAAAAAATGAATTAATTGCCTCTGAAGTCTGTGTCGTCATGGGAGATAACTGGTAGGCGCCACTGTAAGATGGACCATATCACGAACACTGCTTCGTCAGTCCGAGACATTGTATCGATCCCCGGCTTAGACGGTATACTTTCTTCGCATACGTGTACTAGCTGGATCGCGTAGGTAGTACTACTCATACCTGATAACTGTGGCAGTGTAGGGACACTGGAACGTATAAATTGAGTCGTCAGCGTCATTGGTCGTGAGGGGAAAATCGGCGTTGTACATGACCGTATACAATCTAAAAAGATGCAAATAAAATAAATATTAAGAATAATCCTGGTTTGAGAATCCCCATGGTTGAAACGCAGCACAAAAAGACGATAGACAGCATAGAGGAAGACACGCGAAAAGCGCTGAGCTAGAAACTGTTGTCTTTTCTAAGAAGAAGAGAATGCAAGCAGTTCGGCTTCATGAGCACCCGTTGGGCTCATGAAGCCGTTGGGCTGTTGCCGATAATTGTCGCTTTTTTTTAAGTAGGCTGATGAATTCACAAACGTGAAGATTGATTGATGGGGTGGAAATGCAATAATATGGTTTCTCTTGATGTGGAAGGCCTCAATGATTTCACGTGATCCCTGATCCACGTGCCTGAAGGTTACATGCGTGCTATCAAACAAAGGTTTACAACCACAGGAGTGACAATAAGGATGCAAATGTGAAAAGGGAGTGCTGTTAAATATATTTGTTGCCGGATTGTAACGTGAGTACGTGGTGTGGTATACAATATACTGTTGATACGTGGCAAAATTTATATAAGACAGACTGGCGCCAGTCTTGGCGAGATGCTAAGGTAGGCACTCCAATGTAAATAAATTTCTGTCGTTTCGTACGAGTGCCTATCATCTCTGCGAAGTTGGGCGATGGGTCCAGCGACGGGGGCCAGCTAGCAATGTCAAGATCCGCCTGACCCGTGTTCCCAACGACAGTGCGAGAGCGGAGATGCTGCAACCACCGGGACCAGCAACTGGAGGCAGCAATGGGATGCTCCCGAGTCCCAACAACGCCCGGTTTCAGTTCCCTGTACGGCATGCAGGGAAGGTTGTTTTAGTCGGCAATTTATTAGGCTAACAATTTGTTGTTGCCTTCTTAATTTTTAGTGGACCGGCGGCGAGCAGCGGTATTTGCCCAATTTTAGTTGCGCCCGTTTTTGTGATGGATCGTGACTCGTGACACACCGTGACAGGAGGTGACAAGTCGAGCCCATAAGGTACTTCGCATAAAAAAGTCATGTGCATAGCCACATCGGCCGATATCGATAAACAAGCGTTTCTAAAGTATGAGATTTCGGATGGGTTAACGGCAAGAAGAGACCAGTGCTTTCCGCCTGTCCGTCGGCCACCCCTGATTCGGAAAATGGAATGTGCTTGAAACTGATGCTGATGACCTCAGATGAATGGAGCTCACCCACAGAGGGGGATGGGCCAAGAACCGGGTGGCAGGATACTTAAATGAAACTAAAATAAAATTAAAGCCAATCTGAAAAAGTAGTTTAGAGATAAAGCTGTCAATAAACAAAAATGGAACTGTCGCTGTAGGTGTGCTCGTGATCAACAGCAGGCCACGTGTCGCAATTTCGCGGCTGCGGCCTCCGGTCACTTATTCTAATCTTTTGCTGTTGCGACTGTACCGCTCTGCGGTCAACACATTGCCACACGTAACCATAAATCACTTCCTAGCTTCTACGTAATTTTCTTCGTGATGCCACTTCTGCAGAGAACCTGGGTCTCTTCAACACGTGGTAGGAGGCTGCAGAAAATCGTAACTTAAATTCCTCAATCCTTACCTCACCAACGACCTTCGGGAATGGGTCATTCAAGGCTGGTAGCGAGGACCTGGGACTCTGCTCCAGCTCAACAGACGTGTCCTGGACTAAGGACACCTCTCCTAAGCTATCTTATAAAGACGTTGGATACATTTCTTAGTCGGTGTTGCGACTCCGGGTTCTGCGGGTCTGTTTTGGTAGCGGGCCCCCGTCGTAGGAACCATCGTCGAACAAGTCAGATGAGGCGCTCGTACTAACGACAACAATTTATTTACGTGGCTGAGGAGCTCATAAATGCGCTCGGGGAACTCAAGCTCGAGGACTCCGGCTGAAGGTCTCGCTCTAGACGAAGCTTGCTGAAGGAATGCAGAACTGAACTGAAAGTATACAAAAGGTCTTCCACTTATATAGCGTCGCGTTGCCAACCCCTGGCGCATTGTCGGCGGCTTCAGCCTATACGGTGCTCGATGGTATAGATGCTCCACCCACGATGGCGGGGAAAGACACCACACAATGCACGTGGAAGAGCCAGTCTAAACGATGCCCAAATATGGTCACGAACGCACCACGCCACGCTTTGCACCCGTCACCAACACTTTGCGCACGTCTGGTGAACCTAGATGACTGGAGTGCCGAGAATTCTCTCGGAGCTAAGGGTTGTGTTCGAAAAGCCCGGCTCCCGGTACTCGTGCCAAACTTGCCTGTTTGCGTCGGGTAGGACAATGTAGTGGCTTGACAGCTTAATATGAACCATGCCACTCCATAAAGCTGATTCTACGGAAAAAGGGCGAATGAGGAGAGGTCGACTAATCTCTCCTAGTTTGCTAGAAATCCCCGAGACCTCACTTCTCCTCGAAAGGTGATGCTACGACCGGTTTCGGTTTTAGCTTCCAGCCAATACAGCAAATACCACGCTGCTTCAGGTCCCTCCAAATCTACGATGGCTTCGAAAATTGCCCCCGTGGCTCCTTGTTGGCCCGGACAGCTTCAGCACCTGATGTGGGGTCGAAGTGACTATGGCCTTTCCTGTGTCGTGCGTTTTCTTAGCGCCGGATCGGTCCTAGGACACCTTTGTTCACCCTGGGCAAAGAGGAAATCAGCCTGTCTCGACGGCACATCCTTGATTGGTATGCGTCTAAAACTTTTCGTCTAGTTTCCAACCGCCGAAAGAACTTCTATAAGGATGACGGTCGTAACATCAGGCTAAGTCAGGCATCCGGCGGTGTCCGCCCGCCAGCAGCTGTTATCTCTCCGTTCTCACTCCCTCTCCCATAGCAGCAGCTGCGGGCGCGTGCGCTTGCGACACCGCATGCACTTGCGCACCACATGCGCAACTGCAGCATGTGGTGCGAGAGAGTATAGGAGAGGGTAGGTGCAGTGCTTCGCCGTTCCTTCTCTCGCCATTCGCTCCCAACGACAGTGCGAGAGCGGAGATGATGCAACAACCGAGCCCAACAACGGTAGACAGGATGGGATGCTCCCAGTACAAACACGCCCAGTTTTCATTCCAGTATGATGCAGGGAAGGTGTTTTAGTCGGCCCATTTTTGGGCTAGCAATTTTGGTGTTGCCTTCTTATTTTAGTTGTCCCATGCGGCGGCCTCGGTATTTGCCCAATGTTAGTTTGGCTATTTTGTGATGGATCGTGACTCGTGACACACCGTGACAGGAGGGGACAAGTCGAGCCCATAAGGTACTTCGATAAAAAGTCATTTGCATGCACATACGGCCGATAGCGATATAAAACAAGCGTTTCTAAAGTATGAGATTCTGAGGGGGTTACGGCCAAGAAGAGACTGGTGCTTTCAGCTTGTCCGTCGGCCACCCCTGATTGGGAAAATGGAATGTGCTTGGAACTGATGCTCATGGCATCAGATGAATGGCGCTCACCCACAGAGGGGGATGGGCAAAGAACCGGGTGGCAGGATACTTAAATGAAACTAAAATGAAATTAAAGCCAGTCTGAAAAATAGTTTAGAGATAAAACTGCCAATAAACAAAAATGGAACTGTCGCTGTAGGTGTGATCGTGATCAACAGCAGGCCACGTGTCGCAATTTTGCGGCTGCGGCCTCCGGTCACTTATTCTAATCTGTTGCTGTTGCGACTGTACCGCTCTGCGGTCAACACATTGCCACACCTAACCAGAAATCACTTCCTAGCCTCTACGTAATTTTCTTCGTGATGCCACTTTTGCAGAGAACCTGGGTCTCTTCAACACGTGGTAGGAGGCTGCAGAAAATCGTAACTAAAATTCCTCAATCCTTACCTCACCAACGACCTTCGGGAATGGGTCATTCAAGGCTGGTAGCGAGGACCTGGGACGCTGCTCGAGCTCAACAGACGTGTCCTGGACTAAGGACGCCTCTCCTAAGCTATCTTATAATGGCGTTGGATACATTTCTCAGTCGGTGTTGCGACTCCGGGTTCTGCGGGTCTGTTTTGGTAGCGGGCCCCCGTCGTAGGAACCATCGTCGAACAAGTCAGATGAGGCGCTCGTACTAACGACAACAGTTTATTTACGTGGCTGAAGAGCTCATAAATGCGCTCGGGAAAATCAAGCTCGAGGACTCCGGCTGAAGGTCTCGCTCTGGACGAAGCTCGCTGAAGGAATGCAGAACTGAACTGAAAGTATACAAAAGGTCTTCCACTTATATAGCGTCGCGTTGCCAACCCCCAGGCGCATTGTCGGCGGCTTCAGCCTATACGGCGCTCGATGGTATAGGTGCTCCACGTGCACGAAGGCAGGGAAAGACACCACACAATGCACGTGGAAGAGCCAGTCTAAACGATGCCCAAATATGGTCACGAACGCACCACGCCACGTTTTGCACCCGTGACCAACACTTTGCGCACGTCTGGTGAAC